AAATATCGATCAGAAATCGATTTTGATGATTGTGTTCGTAGTCATTATCAAGTACGCATGTCTCTGGAATTAACTACGTCTTCGATTTCATACACATTTATTGCATATCATTAAACTGCATAATCGAACCCATTTACACTATTTACATTGTCAGGACTGTTGTCCACATCTTTATTGTAATATTTGTGACGTTTCGGACGTTGTACACTCCGGTCTTCTTCAGTTGATATACGTTGAAATTTCGGACAGAACTCTTTATTTAGTTCCCGGGAATCTTTTTCTTTCTTCTTTTGTGCCATGCCCATTCAGGACATAGACGATCATGGCTCTCCAACTCCCTCTATCCCTTGCAGCTCTCAACAAGTTCCTTCTCTCTGCTACCTGTCCTGAAGACCACGTTCTGTCATCCACCTGCTCAAACCCACCAGGAATGTGACGCGCTGCCTTTCATTGTCTCTCTTTCCCTCTATTAGACCCGTGAGTATCAGATTCTCCAGGTGCTCCTTCCTCATTATGTGTCCCAGAAATTTCAGCTGCCTCTTCCTGATGTTAAGTATAATCCCCCTCCTAAGACCTCATCGTTCTTCACACGTTCGGTTCATAATATCCTTAGCATCCTTCTGTAGAACCACATCTCCGTCGCCTCGAGTCTCTTCTTCATCTTTGTGGAAATCGTCCAACATTCGCTGCCGTAAAGAAGAACAGATGTCACGTGACAGCTCAGTAGTGTTTTCTTTGTTACCAGAGAAATCATGCCTTCTCCCAGTACTCTGCCCAGCTTTGGGAATGTGTCCTTGGCCATCCAAATATGTCAACGGATCTCAGTGTCGCACTTACCGTCCTCTGTCAAGACGCTTCACAGATATTTAAACTTTCGAGTCTGCTTGATTTTTCTAATTCAATGTGCCTTTTTTTTTTCTTTTTTTTTTTTTTTTTTTTTTGATATCTCACTTTCGGTTTATTTCCTTTAGTAACTGAACACTCCAAGTTTTTGTTTCCTCTTCTGTGGGCAGGTATTGAACTCACAACTCTTTCGGTCAAGTCACTTTTGGGATTACTCAACGAACGCTTTTATCCAGTGGGCTATGTGTCGATAAAGATTAGAACAACAATCTGAATGATGTAAATAGTGTAAATAATTACAATACCTCATCTCAGAAATATAGACAGATCCTGAAGAAGCCCAGAGTTTACAACGACTGAAACATTGCGAATATGATAATAAAGATGAGGAAAATAATCTAAGTGATGTAAATAGTGTAAATAGTTAAAATTACCCCATCTCAGAAATATAGACAGATCCTGAAGAAGCCCGGAGTTTACAACGACTGAAACATTGCGAATATGATAACAATCTGAATGTTGTAAATAGTTACAATACCTCATCTCAGAAATATCAGTCAAGCCGCTGTTTTATGTAAGACATTATATTTACTGAAATTAAGCAACGGGAGGTAAAAATTCTTATCTTTTTTTCAGTTTTGATTCGATATACGAATTGGACTTGTCTGTCAGGTATGTGCCATGCGTGATAACCGCTTAGGCGATCATGTATCTTTCGATACAGGACTAACGAAAAGATTTTCCCCGCAGTAGGTTGCCATTTCTTTTAGCGGTAGACCAGGATCTTGGAAAAGAAGTGGATAGAGTTTTTCTTTGCTCCTTACATTATATATATTTTTTTTAATTCAGTGCATCCCTTCTCTCAGAATTGACTCCCACCCAACCCAAGGCTAGATATATCAGTCTACCCTGCTGTTTAACCCATCGCTGGAAAAGAATTAAGTGCATGAGTATCCGAACGGCATTTGTGAGAACTGAATTCTGTTTTCGCTGGAACTTGACTTCGTCTCGCCACTTCCACTTTCCATATTATAGCGCTAACAATTTGTTAGAAAAAGCTTAAGGGCTTATCCGGCCTCATTAACTTTGGATTATATACAATACCTTACTTAGTGTATGGAAAGTTGAGAAATGCCAATAACCAGAAGATTTCTAATTATATATTTGCGGATGACTGAAATTTCATTACGTCTTTTGTGATAACGTTTGATTCGTTCGGTTGAGTTATTTAATGTAAATATTAGTTAAGATTGATACTTCATTATAAAAGTCAGCGTTGGTCATGTATACACTTGAGACTATAGGAAATAATTATTTGTACTTACACTTGAGTCCATGAGTAAACATTGCACGAATTTATGCCTGAAGCCATAAGTAAAGATTGTTCGTTTCTATACGTGAGACCATAAAGAAACATCGGTAGTGTTTATGCTTGAGGCCACATGTAAACATTAGCTGTGTTTATACCTGATGTCATAAATATTGATTTTGTTTATGCCTGAGGCCATAAGTAAACATTGGTCGTTTTTATACATGAGACCATAAAGAAACATTGGTCGTCTTTATACTTGAGGTCATATGGCTGTATTTATACCTGAGGTGATAAATATTGGTTTTGTTTATACCTGAGACAATAAGTAAACATTGGTTTCTTTATACTAGAGGCCATAAAAAAAACATTAGTCATGTTTATACATGAGGCCATGTGTAAACATTGGCTGTGTTTATATTTAAAGCCATAAATAAACATTGGCCGTGTTTATATTTGAGGCCAGTTGTAAACATTGTCGTGTTTAAACTTGAGTCTATAGGAAATCAAGGGTTGTGTTTATTCTTGGGTCTATAGGCGAATATTGGTTATCCATGATTATGTCTGACAGCACCAACCCGTTATCTGACCCTGTTGTTATGGGCGTTCTATTCCTCAGGGGATGCAGCCGGTATATTTTAGTTCCCGCCGTGAGGGAAAACGATCGATTGATATTCCCCAGTTCAAAGTTTAAAACTGGGACCTAGCCTGTCACGTGCACAGATTCGTCTCAGTCTCATTCCCCACGTATTTCATTGGTCAGAAGCTAGTTTTACTCAAACAGCATCCTCCCCAGAACTCCTAGCCTGTGAGACTCGCAAGAGTATACATCACCTATCATTACATTTTTTTACCCCATCAAGTCCCGGATCAACACCCTCGTAAAACGTACTTCTTGCCTCCTCCCTTTACGCCCTTACAACAATATCATTCGAGAACATTCTACTTTGAGTACCTATTGGGTCTTGTATTCGGTGACTAACAATATAACAAAATAGTATATAAAAAATGCATATTTATACATCTCCGATATTAGTGACTGATAAAGAAAATTCTTTAACATACTTAAATATCATGGCTTTAAAAAATGTTTCTGTTTGTTATTAAAAGAAGTTTACTGAGCATGACAGATACCTGAGGAAGGCCGGAGAGTGAAAACAACAAAATGTAAAAATAACAACCTATATAAATTGAAATAGATTTATATATTACTAGCAGTAGAGCCCGGCGTTGCCCGGTGATGTAACAATAAGTGATAGATCCAAGTATCGACCATCATAAAGACTGAAAAATAAAATTGACAAAGATTATTGTTTAAGGTTGACGGACACGCATGTCTTAATTAGAGGGTTTTTTTTCGTTTTTTTGTTTTTTTTTGGTCAAACCCAAACTCAAACAAAAACATTGTTTTCAATCGTTATGAGTCTCTACCGATTGAATAGAATTTTATTATAAACAATTGTCTTGTAAATGGAATTTTTAAAGCATTCTGAATGTAAAAATAAACAGAAAAGTGTGCAAGTCAATAAGAAACAATATCTGCCAAAATAAAAGTGAAGTTTTGTTGAAATCGGTTGAAAAATGTAGGAAATCCGATCCCATATATAAACGAACACACACACACACACAAACAACCAACCTGGGTTTTATAATAAGTATAACTCGATATGAGTTGTCCCCTTTTCATTCTGGCGACAGAATCGTGTTTTATCGTGTTTTCAAATTGATTTCGTGCGAAAACAATTGTGTTTTTCCAAGTTTTGGCGCTGTCAGAACCACCGCAAGGGAATTTTACACAGTTCTGTGAAGTTTTGTTGAAATCGGTTGAAAAATGTAGGAAATCCGATCCAATATATAAACGTACAGACAGACAGTCGGAAGCTCCAATACGATCATTTCAGTGTGTCTGGATGTCAAACAGAGGATTCAGAAAGAGTTAGATGAGTCTTTACGCACTTACAACAATATCATTCGAAAACATTCTACTTTGAGTACCTATTGGGTTTTGTATTCGGTGACTAACAATATAACAAAATAGTATATAAAAAATGCATATTTATACGTCTCCGATATTAATGACTGATAAAGAAAACTTAGAAAGCCCAAATGCTGGTTACTCGGATTGAAGTTCAGCTTTTTGCAGACAAATATTTGCATATTCCAGTGAAAGTTAAAAGCTTTTTTAATCCTTCATTGGAAGAGGCAATTTTTTTTTTTTTCGTTTTCTTTTAACTTGCGACAACAATGCATGAAACAGAATAGACATTTAGAAATACTTCAGTGTTTAACGCGCGTGAACTAATACTGCCCAAAGTTTGTAACTTACTATGTTTTTATAATCCCATCAGCTGGCGTCGATGTAGTTTGCCTTTAGTCGCCTGCTTTGGCGCCCATGTAGTTTGCCTTTAGCCGCCTGCATTGTAAATTGGGAATTCTGACCTTTTCAGTGCAGACATCTGCTACTTGCAGTATAAAAAAAAAGCAGTTTATCTTCACTGATTACTATCTACTCGCTTGCTTAATGCCAGTGGTAGGCTTCAAAAGATTTATGGCTTCGCTTCACGACCGTCATTTTGCGTCGCGTCTGGCGTGCACAAGGGAAAAATGGCAGACGTCGAGCCCTGATGGGTACGGCATTTCAGGAGATTTATGTCACTTTATACGAGTAGAATGACTATTGGTGAGCAAGGACTCTGATAGACAGAACCCCAATTTTATAGAGTCACGCCTAAAACTGAAATAAGTGACAGCTTTGGTCTGAGAGACTTTTACCCTAATAGTTTAAGTTGGTCTAAAGGTAACCAATGATTTTACTAGCATATACCTTTAGCCAATGCAAACAAATTACTTATGTACAGCTGGAGGAAAAGTCAAGAAGAAGAAGAAGAAGGGGGAGGGGAAGAAGAAGAAGAAGAAGGGGGAGGGGAAGAAGAAGAGGGAGGGGAAGAAGAAGAAGAAGAAAACGAGGATAAGTAGAAGGAGGAGGAGCAGAACAAAAAGAAGGCGCTTTCCAGAAATCCGTCTACCTCTGAAGACACCTTGGTTTGACTTGGTTTGGTTTGGTTTGGTTTGTGTTACGGCATATCAACCTCAATAGGTTATTTAATGCCGACAATTTTTTTTATTGCTGGCAATATTTTCTTTCAAAATAAAGTATGGTTGGTAATGTCTTTTTTTTCTGAAAATGTACTGCTGTTAATAATTTATTTTTTTTACAAAGTATTTCTTGTATGTATTAAAACCAATTTTTACACTTTCATAGTGTTCTGACCCCAGTTTGGGTGTCAACTATTTGCCATAGCAGGGACCCTAACAGGTGCTACCACCCCGGGTCAGGGTGGACCTGGGAACCTCAGCAATTAAGAGGTGGTCCCACGCTCCTCAAAACCTCCTGATCAGAAGCCTTGCTATTGGATGTAGTTTATCGTCTTAGCCAGGACGCGGATGTAGTTTACCGTCATAACCACGACGGACACGTTGGGCATACTTAAGGTCATTTAGAGTGCTCAGGTGGTAGCGCAGCTTTGAATGGCTCATTTGATGAGGAAAGTGTTGTCAAATCTGCAGGAGCTGAGATATGACAATCATCACCCGGTCAAAAAATGAGTCAGAGAGGATATCTAATCAAATAATAATAATAATTCAATTGCTTTCTGGAGTAGTCATACAATGTGGCAATGTTTCATGTTACAAAATAAAAAAAAGTAAGCCTGTTCAATAAATCGTCACGTCTTGATTTTTATTTAAGTTTTCGAGTGACACTTTTCGTTCTTTACGACTTCATCAGACAAAAGTGTTGTCATTACAGATGCACACGAACCGGAGGGGACGACGCTGACATGTCAATCTTTCAATTAATTTTTAATATGCGTTTGAGCCTATTTTTATTCAACACAAAACAAAAGGCTCATAAAATGTTTCACATTAGAAGAGTGGACAATTCTGAAAAAGCCAACGGTGCGAATGCCAAGCAGTACAGCATGTCGCTTCCAAATATCAGGAGGAGTTAATTGCGTAATGGTGTTCTTTTTTCTCAGAGATGGTGCCCAACTGACCCTACTATACTGTGCAGTCGACAAAATAAAAAACAAACAATGCGCAAAATTAAAAATATAAAATGGCGACAATTTACCCATCCACTATATATATATATATATATATATATATATATATATATATATATATAGGATTCGAGCATGCATCCATCTTTGCAAGAGAAACCGTTGTTTGATCATATATATATATATATATATATATATATATATATATATATATGTTAATGTATATTTTTACGGTAACCTTTCTTCTTTCAAACATTTTTCGTTAAATATGACAGACAAGGAAAATTTAATTCATTCTTTTATTTAGTTTTTCCAGTATTCTTATATTTTTTTTTTCATTTGGTGAGAGTAAGAGAGTGCAAAAATTGTTCATATCATTCATTGTCCCAAGCGCTTTCGGAAACTTCTTCAGCCATTTCCAATGTGGAGGGCAGATTTCAGATCTTGTTATTTACTATTTTGTTTTTTTTTTGGGGGGGGGGTTGTATTGTTTTGAATACTAGTTGAAGCGTTTATTCCAAGGGTCGTACTGTTGGAATTCGTGTGAGCATCTTTCTATTTCATTTGTACCTTTCAACATGCCATTCCCACTGTTGAATATTGTGAGCTTGATTGTTCGAGGATGGGGGCAGATGTTGTTACGGTTTTTTGGGTATATATGTCCATGTAACTAGTGAGCGAGTCAGAATGACTTATTTCCCTTTATAGTCGACCAATAGAAGGTTGACCAATCAGAAGCCGCACAACACTGTATTCGTCGTGTATAAAGGCGGCCATCTTTGTTTCTCCTATCGGAAGGACCAGAGGAAACTTGTCCGGCGAACATGACAGACGGAAGAACTACGCTCTGCTACGATATCCACTGCGAACCTGCACTACGCTTTCCTACTGTCTCCGAAATATTCACTGCCAACCTCTGGATTCTATACTCGAAGACGACCGTCATGAAAATGTCTAACAGATGTTTTATATGCAAGACCTCTTTCCTAGCGTGATGTTTCCAGTAATTTGATTTATATAAAACTTTAGTGGCTTCGAGAAGAATTTTCTTTTAAGTGTTCTTGTAAATTGTGCGTAGTTAGATGTTAGTCTTTTATAACACATTAATCGGATAAGTGACATTTGAAGCATATATATATATATATATATATATATATATATATATATATATATATATATATATATATAAAGAAAAAAAAAAAAGAAAGAAAGGAATCTGTTTTACAGTGGGCAGGACAACTGGTATGATTTGAGGACGCTCGTTTGCATAGAGACTTTAAAAGCCCAAAACAAATGCAACATAAGGCCAGGAAAAAAACTTCAAAGATTACTTATTTGACTCACTTTCTTTGTCTATGTAGGAAATCATGGAAGATAAAATCCCATAAACTTATCGAGTAGCAACAGGAAGCTCTACATTCTATGACTGCCCTTAAAACTGAAGTGTACCTCAAACGAACCTATTTAAAACATGCAGCTGGAAAGAGATGGTTCAAACTCAGTTGTGACTCGATGGGTTTATGAAGAACGTGGCCGCCTTTGCTTATCACTGAATAGGCGGAAAATCACTTTATCGATCATGTGCAGCGACACTGGATTAAATATAAATATTATCAACAGGAAAATCCGATTCCCTAACTTCTTATAAAAATTAGTCTACCCTGATCAGACAAAGGTTGGTATAAAAACACAGTAAAAGTAAATAAGCAAAATATACGAAATACATTTCTCAGTAGTCCAATAGAATTTTTAAAACCTTTCTGATTTTAAGAGATTGCAAAACGCATGAGTGGGGTGAAGTAGCAGTCACGGAGATGGTAATACTCGGAATCGATTGGACTGCTGCCAAGTATATAAATACCCTATTTACTTTCGCGAGCTCTACTTTGCGTCGAGGCATTCACCAATTGAAAGAAATATTTCTAGATTCAAGTACAAGGGATAAAGACGTTGGACCAATACTAACAAATTTCATTCAGTCAGTGATAAGGAGGCAGTCGAAATACGCTAATTATATTCTCTTAACCTAAGGCCGTAAAATCTGATACTATTTACGCTAATCTCTGTTGACCTTATCAGATCAGTTGACGGCATTTATAGTCAGTTTTCGTTCGCGAATGATAAGGAATTTTTTTATAATCTTCGGCCCCTCTCCGAAATGAGAGGAATAATAAAATCTAGCATCAATTAAAAAAGTATTAAGAAATACCTTATGAATAACTCAAAAGGCTTTTACGATGCAAAATACACACACACACGCACACATTATATATATATATATATATATATATATATATATATATATATATATATATATATATATATATTGTTAAATTTCCAGATGAATTCCGTGGACAAGACAAATTGGTATAAGATGACATTTGGAAAAAATCATAGTTTTCGCCGACGTCTCTCTCTATTTTAAATTTGGATTTTGTAATGTACCTATAACAACAAAAACATTTTGATTTCATTTTTTCCAATAGTCATCATATATATATATATATATATATATATATATATATATATATATATATATATATTTATTTTATTTTTTAATGACCCTTTCCAGTTCTCTAATCAGTTTCTTGATTTTAAGATGAAATTCACGAAGGAAGACGCCGTAGATTTTTCCTACCCAAGTACTTTCGATCTGCTCCAAAATAATTTTCGGTTTTGAATTACAAAGACAAATATTGTATATCCGATAAAATCTGCATTTCGTTGTGATGGTGAAGTAATGCTATTCTGCATATTACCATTTTCCGGTCAGTTCCTATATATTGGAACGCTTGTTTTGCAAAAAAATTACATAGCTACAACGGACGAATTTGAATTTAAAATTTGAATAAAATTATAACAGAGCACGTTCACACATGTTTTTGAAAATTAGTACCACGACGACGATATATATATATATATATATATATATATATATATATATATATATATCTGTTCGGTGTTTGTGTTAACCATCGACTACTTCCGAACAGATCCATTTATTTAATTTCCGGTCAACCTGTGATATCATTTTCAGACACTTTCCAAAGGTTCGGCACGCAGTAATTGCCACTACAAGCCGATAACATCTATATATATATATATATATATACGTTTTGTACATGTGTGTATGTATGCGAGAGTGGGTTAGTCAACTGATTGACACAGTCATTAGCTCAATTTTAATCTGATATTGTATAATGCTGGTTCGACATGATTAACGCGAAAACGTTCGATTAAGTGCATTGACATTAAAGGAGACTATGCAGAATAAGTAATATTTCTATTGTACATTACATGGTTTTTCTTTTAACTACCGACTAACTGATGTATCCACCGTAAAGATAGATAGATAGATAGATAGATAGATAGATAGATAGATAGATAGATAGATAGATATGAAAAGGAGGGAGCTGGATAGATAGATAGATAGATAGATAGATAGATAGATAGATAGATAGATAGATAGATAGATAGATAGATAGATAGATATGATTATGGGTATATGCAATAATGTATGTGGGTGCTTATGTGTACATAGCATGGTTATTTCACTGAGACTTGATCAGTGGATTTTTGCTCATAATCCTCAATTCTTTCAATCGGCTCACAACTATCTCCTTGGCCGGCACAATAATAAAGCTTCCTCTAGTCAAATCGATTGATTGATCGATCGATCCACAGAGCGAAAGATTAATTTCTGTACTACCAACTGAGTTGCTAGGCCGAGTGATTGCGTTGGGAAAATATGATGCTTACTGTATGCGACCGACTCACACACGCATACACAATCACACACACAAAATGGCAGCATTTGAATGGATTATCGGCTTGCTCAACTTACGAGCTAATCCATTCGTAAGGACACATACATCGAAATAAATCAGTGTATTGAATTAAGCTTCGGATTACTTTCTACTCTTAGCCACCCCCAGTACATACGATAATTTTTATAGCTCTTAAAGCGTATAAATTATTTATGTTAACCACGATCATAATTCGCATTTGCTTGATTGCAAGTAACAACGAAGAGAAAATATTTTAAAGGCTGGTTTTACCAGCGCCGTTTGGCTTAATGCAATTATGTACTTGCCGTCTCACGCTGGCAGGATGTGATACAAGGTCAGTGTGATGTAAAGAAACCGAGGGCGTTCGCCCGGGCCAGGTCCCAAAATAGCCCAGTTCCAGCCACCGAGGGCAGCTGTTTCCCGAGACCGGGCACCTCTCGATAATATTTTCAATTGCGCTGACAGGAACACGACTGGGTTGATTATTGAAACTCGCCAGGATTTTCAGCTTCCCCGGCACCGGTTGACGCAATATAACGCTGACAAAGAAATCAAATAGGAACGCCAAGTTCCGTATGTAATCTAAAACCTCTCTGAGTATAAAGCGTTATAGAGTGTCCACTTTACATATACCGGGTGTAACAGCAAAATTGTCCAAATCATGTAAAAAGAAAAATGGTCGAGTAGTTAGATTAAGTTTTGAACCGTTGTATCATAGAAATGATCAAAGATATCTTACTGGGATTCCCTGAGGTCTTTATAGCACTACTGGACTTTACTTTGACCAATAAGAATGTATAATTACTCTCCAAGCTTAACAGAAGAATCGTGATGAAATCGATCATAAACGAAAATGATTTGTTCTTCATTAATTAATCATAACTAACGATCAGAAGCTCATGAAGAATTGTTATAAAGTTCATATATATATATATATATGTGTGTGTGTGTGTGTGTGTGTGTGTGTTTGTCTGACGATCCTTCAAGCGTGAAACCCAAGGTCACAGACTCACATCTATCCAACAAATATGTTAGCTCTATCTCTGATATTGAGCGCTTTCTAATAAATTACCGCAAATAAATATATAAATAATTATACATACTTATATTTATTTATATTTATATACACTTTTCACACACACACACACACATATATATATATATATATATATATATATATATATATATATATATATATATATATATATCCCAGGATCATTTTCAAGATGACCTTCGCCCCTCTAACCTTCTAACTTTCTGTCCTGAAGTAACATATTTCACGTACGATTTCATTTACATGTCTTTTTCACTACTCCTTGGACTGTCATAGCTGAAAGTACTCTCTTACTTGCCAAGCATCTTATGGATTGAGTTGGGCTTTTTTGTGATTGATCTCTTTAGTTCTAAGTTGAAATGATGATCCCTCTTCCTGTTGTGATCTCCTGGTCCAGTTTTCCTCTCTACTGTTCCCTCATTTTTAAACTTATTCGCTGTTCTCTTGATAGTTCTTGAATGGACTTTGACGATGGAAGCCAGAGTATGAACGTTAGTACCATTACTGAAGGCCTCAATGATCTTTTTCCCCTCACCATTGCTCTTTTGGGAAGACAGTAGGTCTGACATAAAATTTTAACCTGTTCTCTTTTTAGCTGAATAACTCAAAAAGTTTTTCAATGATTCTTACGACAAATCGTGTCAATATGGCTAAACGTCTTATTTGAAAACCTGCAAAAAGAAACTGAATTAGTTTAGTGGGTTTTTAGATATTAAACATTTTATGGTATGAATAATTATGTTGTTACACGATTTACTGTTACACCCGATATAACAAAACCAAATGCAAATATATCTTGCAATCAAATCACACCACGTGTTCCTATTCTTTAATACAGCCTTCACGGCTAAGACCCACCATATCATACTTATTATAAAACCCAGGTTGTGTGTGTGTGTGTCTGTACGTTTATATATTGGATCGGATTTCCTACATTTTTCAACCGATTTCAGCAAAACTTCACGGGACTACGTAAAATTACCTTGCGGTGGTTCTGACAGCGCCAAAATTGGAAAAAACACAATTGTTTTTGCACAAAATCAATTTGAAAACACGATTAAGAGTCATCGCAAGAATGAAAGGGGGACAACTCATATCGAGTTATACTTATTATAAAATTCAGGTTGTGTGTGTGTGTGTGTGTGTGTGTGTGTGTGTGTGTGTGTGTGTGTGTGTGTGTGTGTGTGTTCGCTTATATATGGGGTCGGATTTCCTACATTTTTCAACCGATTTCAACAAAACTTCACTTTTTTTTTGGCAGTTAGTGTTTCGTATTCTCTTGCACACTTTTTTCTTTATTTTTACATTCAGAATGCTTTAAAAATTCCATTTACAAGACAATTATTTATAATAAAATTCTATTCAACTGGTAGATTCATATTGATTGAACACAATGTTTTTGCTTGAGTTTGACCAATTCGTAAAAAAAAAAAAAAAAAAAAAAAAATAATAATTAAGACATGCGTGCCCGTCAACCTTAAACAATAATCTTTGTCAATTTTATTTTTCAGTCTTTATGATGGTCGATACTTGATCTATCTCTTACTTAGCAGTAGAGCCCGGGCAACGCCGGGCTCTACTGCTAGTCACTAATATATTAGCGGAACAACCTCATTCTTTCCGTATTCCATTGATGATATATAAGTACCCTTCGAACAGCATCTTCCCACGAACCGCTGCTTTGTGGAACCAATTTACCCGATCACTACGATCTTAACCTGTTCATGTCTAGGCTTAACCGTTATCTTCCCCATATATCTCCATAAACTGTGCTTCTTATTCTGTAACCCTCTACATCGAGTGGCACTTGGGCCTTGTACAGAGTGAACATCATTGTAAAAAAAATAAGTAAACATTTAGAAAATATAGTGAGCACTACTTTAATTTCCTGGTCCGCTCGTAAAATATCAGGGAAGAATATTTTTTTTTTTTTTTTTGCAGGAGTCATCTTTTTAGAGTGGCATTCGATATAATTTCTTCATGCCACCATATTTGAACTTGATTTGTTCCGTCGACCGAATTGAGCGACGATCTGCGTATTAACGTTGTCGGCACTTGTCTGCATCGAAGAATATTTTTTAAGAATTATCATTTTAGAAGGGATTTCTGTTTATCATATAAATACAGTCTCAGATCAATCCCTGACTTTTTAAAGAGTTATCTGTATTTTATTAACACATGTCAAGTTTAAAACAGTGTTTACACTATTAATAACTAGTTACGTTCTGTTACGAATTGGGGAAAATAACAACATCAGTAGTATACAGTTGTCAACAGCAGGGCATCTCATGGCGAAGTAATGGTTAGCAAGCTTGTCTCGCTAGAACAATTACGACTTAGTAGTGAGTTCGATCCTCACTGGGTGCCCCCTACTTTCGGCCTTGTACAACATCTAAGCTACGCTTGGAAAATCACTTTGGGCACCTCGGCGTGGTGTAGTGGTTAGCAGGCTTGTCTCGCAAGAACACTTACGACTGAGTAGTGAGTTCGATCCTCACTGGGTACTCCACACTTTCGGCCTTGTGCCACATCTAAGCTACGCTTGGAAAATTGCTATATCGATCACGTTTGGGCACCTCGATCGCTGAAATGGTTATCAAGCTTGTCTTGCTAAAACAATTACGACTGAATAGCGAGTTCGATCCTCACTAGGTACACCATACTTTCGGCCTTGTGTCACATCTAAGCTACGCTTGGAAAATCGCTATATCGATCACGTTTGGGCACCTCGATCGCTGAAATGGCTACCAAGCTTGTCTTGCTAAAACAATTACGACTGAGTAGTGAGTTCGATCCTCACTAGGTACCCTATACTTTCGGCCTTGTGCCACATCTAAGCTACGCATGGAAAATCGCTATATCGATCACGGTTGGGCACCTCTAGGCGCTGTAATGGTTACCAAGCTTGTCTTGCTAAAACAATTACGACTGAGTAGTGAGTTCGATCCTCACTGGATGCCCCATACTTTCGGCCTTGCCCCACATCTAAGCTATGCTTGGAAAATCGCTACAGTTGTCAACAACAGAAGTAGAGTTTAAAACTTTATATTTGTAGATAAAAAAAATAATGATAACTCTTTCAGAATTCGAAGATCAATTTCACACTGAAATTATATCATGAATAAGACCCTCTTTTAAAATGATGACAAATAATGACTTTTTGATTATGAAAAATGTCGTGTGGGCATAGGACGGTCTGATCAATGCTAATCTGCAAAAATAGATCTCTCCAAACCCCTTCCCTAATATTTACGAGCGGACCCGTTTATTTAAGTAGTTCCAGATAATGGAGTTGTTTTCTGTTGCCTTTTCCACGAAATTGTTCGTTGTTGCCTTGTCCACGGAATTGCTCACTGTTGCCATCTTCACGGAATTGTTCACTGTTGCCTTTTCCCCGAAGTTCTTCACTGTTGTCCTTTCCACGAAACTGTTCACTGTTGCCTTCTCCACGGAGCTGCTTACTGTTGCCTTCTTCACGGAATTGTTCACTGTTGCCTTTTTCACGCAATTGTTCACTGTTGCCTTTTCCCCGAAGTTATTCAGTGTTGCCTTTTTCACGGCGTTGTTCCCTGTTGCCTTCTCCACGGAGTTGCTCACTGTTGCCTTCTTCACGGAATTGTTCACTGTTGTCTTTTCCCCGAAGTTATTCAGTGTTGCCTTTTTCACGGCGTTGTTCCCTGTTGCCTTCTCCACGGAGTTGCTCATTGTTGCCTTCTTCACGGAATTGTTCACTGTTGTCTTTTCCCCGAAGTTATTCAGTGTTGCCTTTTTCACGACGTTGTTCACTGTTGCCTTCTCCACGGAGTTGCTCACTGTTGCCTTCTTCACGGAATTGTTCACTGTTGACTTTTCCCCGAAGTTATTCATTGTTGCCTTTTTCACGACGTTGTTCACTGTTGCCTTCTTCACGGAATTGTTCACTGTTGCCGTTTTCCACGAAGTTGTTCACTGTTGGCTTTTCCCCAACATTGTTTATTGTTGCCTTTTCCACAGTGTTGCTTCTGTTGAACTGATTGTCATTTAAGTCTACCTTGCTATTTAATCCACAGCTGGTGATGGGTTCATGCCGCCCTCAAGGGTATATGTGCGAAAGTGAAGTCAGCCGACTTCGCCGAAATTTGAACTCGGCGCGCCATTCCACGTACCGGGGCTTACGACCATCACGTTACTCGCACGGAGATACTGAATCCTACACAAAGGAGTGCTGAAAAGTTATTGGCTTGATCCACTCCCCAAAATCTGTATTTCGATGATCAAACATCGGAATACTGATTTGGGGAAGTGGGTCAGGCTGACAACTTTTCAGCATCGACTTGTAGAAAAACAGATTACGGTGAAGTCTAGACGTTTGGGAGAAGATTAAAAGAAACAATGTGAAGAATAGAAAAGTGCAGCAAAAGCAGTTCATGGGAACACCTACGAGATGGTAGCAATTTAGAGGGAAAAACACGCTTCGAAGTAATAGAGTGGAAACAATAAGCAATAAACAAGGCAAACGAAATAATGGTAGAAAGCAAAAGCCGTTGTTTTTGTGGCATAAAAAGAACAAGAAGAACATTCCATGGTATCTCGAGACAAAGGAGAAAAGAGAAAACAAAAGCGGAAAGCTTTAATTGAGCGATGAAAGAAAAGAGAATGCCGCTGTTGAAAATGGATCGAGTAAATATGTTTCTAAATCACACTAGCCATTTTCAACACAATACGTTACGTTGGTGACAAAGTATAAGAAAGGCGGAGATAGATAGATAGATAGATAGATAGATAGATAGATAGATAGATAGATAGATAGAATGAATGAATACACAGACACTTGATTAAAAGAGATAGATAGATAGATAGATAGATAGATAGATAGATAGATAGATAGATAGATAGATATAGAAAGAGAGATGAGCAGACTGAGATAGATAGATAGATAGATAGAATGAATGAATAGATAGATAGATATAGAAAGAGAATGAGCAGACTGAGATAGATAGATTAAAATAGATAGATAGATAGATAGATAGATAGATATAGAATGAATACACAGATTGATTAAAAAGATGGATAGATAGATAGATAGATAGATAGATAGATAGAAGCAGACTCAGATAGATAGATAGATAGATATAGAAAGAGAGATGAGCAGACTGAGATAGATAGATAGATAGATAGAATGAATACACAGACACTTGATTAAAAGGAATAGATAGATAGATAGATAGATAGATAGATAGATAGATAGATAGATAGAGAGAAGCAGACTCAGATAGATAGATAGATAGATGATAGATAGATATAGATAGATAGATAGATAGATAGATAGATAGATAGATAGATAGAGAGAGAAGCAGACTCAGATAGATAGATAGATAGATAGATAGATAGATAGATAGATAGATATAGATAGGGGGACGAAATGCATACACAGACACTTGATTAACATAGAGATAGATAGATAGATAGATAGATAGATAGATAGATAGATAGATAGACCATTCGACGGAAGAAACGCGTATTATAAATGTTACCATTATGTTATTCATTTTACCTTCCAATACGGTGATCTCAGTTTCATTAGCAGTCGATTTTATATCGCAAGCAACATTAGAGACCAGTTCAAAAATGTCAATGTGGACGATCTATCTTTAGTAATGGAGTGAGGCTATACTACACACCTGGTTATATAAATCAAACCAACCACTTGTTGCTTGAGATTTATTGGTACTATCTGTCTCTCTCTCTCTCTCTCTCTCTCTCTATATATATATATATATATATATATATATATATATATATATATATATATATATTATCAAATACAAATGTGGATCAGAATCCCAGAGAATAAGAGAAATAACAAATAGGAAACGTTTAACATTTTAACTTTTATTAAAATCTCACCAGAGAATGATATATGGAGAGAGAAAAAAGAAGGAAAAGATTATTTTTTGTTTATTTTTGTATTGTTTGATTGTCATTGGTTTATCAGGTTTGATGTATATTCGATTTGTTAAACATAGCCATAAAAAGATTTAATAAAAGGAACTTGAAAACTAATCGATATGACTTGCTCACAGGATTGCAAAGTTTCTAAATCAGAATTTCAAAAACTGTGGAATTATAAAGACCTGCAATTCGAAGTAACAAAATGGGTGAAATTATGTTCATCCCTGTTTTAATAGGGGCATTGAGGATGATCAAGTAGGGTACCGAAAATCATGTAACGGAAACTCCTTGACTTATCAGCACCTCTGAGCTACAAAAGATTAATTTGTGCTGTAGTGCAAATATCCACAAACCCTCTCCATCTAAACGGAATATCCCAAATGCTACAGTAAACTTTTTATTCATAGACCCTGGAAGGGATCTGGTACTTAGGCACTTAAAATTATTCTCTAGCAAGATGATGACGTAAACACACATTGAAGGTGCCCCTGGTAGCCCAAGCCAAAAAGGGCTCACAAGTACAGCTCACACCTTACAAAGGTAAAATGTGTGTGATCTTAGGTTAGTTTTTTTGTTTTTTTGTTTTTTGGTGGGGGGTCTAAAATGTGCACAGGGGAAAATGTCATGATGCCATTTCTGTCGTTAGGTCTCTGGTTGGGATCCGGAAAGAAATGAGTATACACAAGAAACCAGAGAAAATAATAATGATAATAATAATAATAATAATAATAATATACTAAATCAGATCAGTCATTGCTTTTGCTTTTAATTAATTGGAGGTATCAACATGTAAATGTTTTTTCTTGCTGAAATAAGATGGGCTACAGCAAATATCCCCATTCAGTAGCACAGATTTGCTTGTTACTTGCCTAACCCATAACCAACTGGGCATCTCTCCTCAAAACTCATGCACAATGCAGCTCTGTTCATGAATGGGAATAGTGGGGAATCATCACATCCTGGTGTTGAGAGGCTTATTTTTTTTTCAAATTTGAAGGAGAACTTAAGAATGATTTGGGAGTCAAATCTAGATTCCTGGGAACACACTTAATTAGAAACCATCTAAGCAAATTGTGTTCTGGAACTTTTTTTTAACTGAACTCCACCTGCAATGTTATACAATGTTTTTATCAAAAGCTGTTATCATATCGTGCGCATATGAGGATGTCTACTATATCCTTATCAGACTGGTTGTCACAATCGGTAATCTTATAAAAGTCATATAAAAGAACTGGAAAAATGTTTATGAGGTATATTTTTGTTTAAATGTTTATTGGTATGTAGTTGGTTTATATTATGATGACGTATATATTTAGTATGTCCTTATCAGTCCGGGTGTCACGATTATGTGAACATTTATCGAAAATAATTATTCGAAAACAATTATTCCAAAAAACATTTATTAGAATTGCAAATTGTTTGAATGAAAATTAATCGGCAGGTCAATTATACTAAATGATAATCATTCAAAATGCAAAATTCTTTATCGCAATAAAAATGTAAAAATTCCAAGAGGAAATACACAAATGATAATTATTCGAAATACAAATATCGTTAATAAAACAATTTAGTAAGAAAAAATCCTTAAGTTATATTATACGGAATATAAATAGTCAGCTAATGAAGTGTATTCGCTAAAGGATGCCATTAATTTTTAAAGTTTTCCATTTACGTCGTTGTATTTCTTGGCGCTCTTGATATTTTGGTATGAATTTCTTGCAATTCCTGTTCTCTTTTAAGAGCGTCTAAGAACTTCCATACTGTGTGATGACGGGATGACACTTGCTGCTAAAAAGCTCTATGGCATCCTTCAAGGGCATTATTAGTTCTAGGTTAATGAACATTAACTCCCCCAAAGCAAAACCTCATAGGTATTTTCGAATAATTATCATTTAGCATAATTGTCCTCTCGATTAATTTTCATTCAAAAAATTTTCAATTCGAATAAATATTTTTCGAATAATTGTTTTCGAACAATTTTCTCGATACGGGGTGTTACAAAGGGCATATCACATAGAAAATCATGTTAAACAAATACAAGAATACTTGTAAGGTATATTTTTGTCTAAGTGTGTAATTGTAATCTCTTGGTTTTAGCATAGCCTTACGTATTCCAAAATCAGCTTGGCCAAGATTTATTTGGTGTTTTACTGCAGTTTCACGTTTGTTCTCGGAAGATAGCTTGTAACCAAGTTATCCAAAATCAGTCAATTGATCAATTCTTTTCCGTTTATTTGAATGTTGAGTTAGAGTGGTTCTTTGCTGTCATTGAGTCGGTATTCTTCAGGTTTAATTCAAGGCCTGTTTCTTTTACATTATGGTAAAAAAAGAGTTCAAATATATTCCGTGCTCTTTTAGATTGCAATCTGCCATGGATATACCATCCGCCTATGATAGATTTGATATTTAAAACTCAATAGAGAAACCCCCTCTCTCACTTACACAACTGTCGCATCAGTCTCACCCCCTTTTATATTCCATTGGTAAGAAGAAAGTTTTTTCCAAAAACCGCAACTTTGTGGAACGTGCCCCCGAGAGAATGCTTCCCAGATTAATACAATGTTAACCTCTTCAAGCCTAGATCTAATCGTTATTGATCTTTCATAATTTCACTTACTTCCTGCTCTTACGTTCATATAATAATTCTATCGATATTTACTTATATTTGCTTTTTTTTGTTTTTGTTTTTTTTGTTTTGTTTTTTTACGGCATTGTGGATTATTTTAAATCCGAGACATATTTTGGATTGTAAGAATAGATCTATTTGCGCGAAGAGGAATATTAGATTAACAGTGTTTTTTATTTATTTATTTAATCTTTTTTTATTTTTTATTTTTTTTTTTTTGCAAAATAACACTGATTTTTCCAAATACAAATTCGACTTGGGAAAGGTATGAACCCATCCCTTTCTCAAGAGTGCGTAAGTGTAATGAACTCGACTAGAATTCGAACTCGGTTCTCAGTTTTCTTATTCTGTGCCACTATCTATTAAACCACCGAAAAATCCTTCTATTTTGTGTAGCTCTTGGAGCTTGTATTAAAAGTAAAAATAAATCCTACTTAGTTTTAAACATTACAGCTCGACAAAAAAGAATGCATATTTCAAATACCAACCCGTAAGTGTCCTTTGTCTATTGAGAGAAATGTTTCCATTACATTTCACACATGAAGGCTTTTTTAAAAATATTTACACACTGAATTAGATTTGGAAATAAATTACTGTCTGTGGAACAATTTCGAGCTCAATAGATTACAAGATAAGTATCCCAACGATTTCCCAGCTGTAACGTTTTTTCTCGAAAAATCTTAATTCGAATTCACCTGAATCTGTAAAATTAATATCAAATTGTTCCCAAAATACAAGATTAGCTGTTGTCAATTCAAAAATGTTAAAGAGTTACGAGAGATATTGTTCACAAACTCACAAACAAAAGAAGAAATCTTTTAACTTGATATCATCGCTATGTAGAATGCGTTTAGAAATGTTTCTTTTTTGAAAACATATTTCGCGCCTTTTTTTTTTTTACCCATTACTGGAACAAGGCTGGCCTGAATAACTTCTATCGTTCGGAGTTTTGCCGCTGTATTTCAATCACGTTTTTCATATCTGCATCAGCCTGTTCTGACTGTCTTTCCACGTAAACGGCAGGAAACCGGTAAACGACTCTCATACAACCTGGCCTTTAGCGAATAAAATAGCCATTCTTTGACAATAAAACGACCAAGCAGAACAAAACAATCGTTCATTGTATTATGATGTCGACTCACTTAACCCCAAAATGGCATTCATTCGAGTAAAGAAGCCACTGGAGGAACGTCGGATTGTAGTTACACGTCGAGTGAGTAGCTGGTTTGAAATATTCATTATTTTCCCGTTCGTACAAAGCATGACACCCAAGCTGACTTAAGCTGCATATAAACCGACCTGCCTTTTCTACAATGTCATATCAGAGGCCGGCTCGCTAAAAACTTTCGATTACCGTTTCGGCAGGGTCATAGTTGAATCTTCATATTATGCGTTAAAGTGTTGTACAAGGCACGAAGTTATGGGTGAGACAGCTGAAACGCTTTCATTATAATATTATTTTCATCTTGGACAGTAAATGAACACACACATACGCACATATATATATATATATATATATATATATATATATATATATATATATATATATATATACATGTATGCATGTATGTATATCCTAAACTCAAGCCACCATTCTGCTACTGGGTGGCATGCCACTAGAGTTTACTGCTGGTAACCCGCTGTCGGACCGTCAGCATGTTCGTCTCGGCAATGTTACCACTGGTAGACCGCTAGAGGCCCCCCGTGGCCCTCCTGTAGCCTTATGGTGGCTGTCACCAGAGGATCGTTGGCGTTGCCATCGTCAGGCCCGCCAGAAGGCCACTAGAGGCTTGCGTGTAGTGTATATATATATATATATATATATATATATATATATATATATATATATATATATATATATATATCCTGTCTTCAGAGTTTCCTAGACGGACACTTCAGGTCCAGGAATTACACCGTTCACTCGTCAGGGCAATATATATATTCACTTTTCATCGCTGCAGTTTTTTTCAT